GCAGTGTCACCTCTGCCTATCCGTAAGAGGTTAGGCGGAGAAGATGACGCTGGCGTTGGTGGTGGCCGTGATCAAGGCAATGCTGCAGGACTGAGGATCAGGAATGACGTGACAGAGCAAAATCTCGACAATTCAGGAACAATCTCATCTGCGAAGAGGGCCGCTGTTAACGGTGCAAATCAAGGAGCGGGAAGCATAGGAGCAGCGTCATATCTACATGGCCATGGCCGAAAGGAAGCAATGTCCACCAAGGACGCCCCAGCATCAGCATCAAGGTCAAAGCCAAGTATTGGCGTCAACACTTCTTCTACCGCCACCGTCACAGCAACGGCCACAACAACAGTTTCCACCACCCATACACATCCTTCGACGCATTCCCATCACCCTCACCACCATCATTCCTCTCGCACCACTCTCAATGAAATGCGGCGGCGTGTAGCTGCAATCTTGGAATTCATCTCTCGAACGCAACTCGACATGGCTGCCAATGGAGAACGAATTACTCCTCCAGATGTTGCTAAAAAGGTGGTCCCTGGCAACGACGCTGTAAGTACTGCAGCGCAAGCCGTTGGGCTGGCTGCTGCGGCAGCTACTTCGCAAGGGACGAGTGGTGAGGGCGAGGGTGAGGGGAAGAATGAAAGAGAAAGCAATGGGGGAACAGAAATTGCGAAGGAGAACGCAAAGTATTTAGCAGGCGAGCGAATCACGATACCTGAACCTGAGTTTGAGAAGTTGACGAGCTTTGACATGATGGACGTTTTGACTCGCGGATTGCTGAAATGGCAGCAAGAGTTCGGGAAGTTCGGGGATCGATGACCATGACTTAACGAAACAGACGAGCCCCAATTAAACAGAAGAAAGGGTGAACGTTGTCATGGTTATGGTATATTGGCAAACGTTCTCGCTTTAACTATTCCTTATTCTGATATGATTTAGCTGACATACGATATCATGAGTTTTTCTTCACAATCCGAAGATCTTACATCTCTTTGTGTCTTCAGCATGCTTTCACTGTCCTGCCTCGCCCTTTTCCCTCCTGAAAACCATCAAAGCGAATGGTCAACCCGCTCGTTTTTGCATGTCAAGGCACTATCCAAGGGTCCTACTTATGTGTATACGAAAAACAGCATAAACGCTGAAAAAAAAAAACCCCTATGGCGTAATGGCTAACGCGTTTGACTTCTACTCATAGAAGAGCATATCAAAAGATTCTCGGTTCGAGTCCGGGTAGGGGTGACCTTCTTTCAAACCTTTTTGTTATTTCCTAATATAATATCTTTGCGGACTGATTACTGCAGCGAGATTGAACAACATCTACGAGAACACCTGAACTTCGTGACTGTTCTCTAACAAGAGCTCAGGTTAGCCTTTTCCACTAGCGACCAGCGAAATTGGGAATAACTTCAACTAATCTCGGGACATCCTTCGAGACAGCACAGAATATGTGACGGTGTTCTCATTCATTCATGCTTTCTTTCACTACGAGAGCATCTGCTGCTTTTCAATGGCTAATGTGAATGACAGTTTTCGTTCGAATGAATGAAGTGCGGGGTAACCTACTGGTTCCATGTCATGACCATATCGATTTGTAATTATGAAAGACTGCCCGACGACGTAAGTGAGTGTCCGCTCATGCATACCGCGGCGACTGCTTATTTTGGGCTTTAGGTTCATCATCTCTTTTTCCGCACCAGCCGTTTGCCCAGCATCCCAGACCTAACTTCCAGAACAGGATTGGCAAACCTCCTGATCACGCGCGCACGACAAGTATGCCTTGACTCACCGAAGCCATTGCGACAATTGCGCTGGCGCCATAAGACCGCCACATCCAGAAAATGACTGGGGTTGGAAATTCAACGTCCCCCGATGCTTTGCTTGCAGCCCTGCCAGCGAGGGACGTACGACGTTGCTCAGAATCGAGCCGGTCGCTTCAATTGTTACTGCTTCTCCTGGTACACTTTACAGTGGCCTGACTGACGACTGCCAGGCTGAGAGTTATGGGTCATAAAACTTGGAAACGGTAGTTATTTTGCTTTTGCAAGTATACCTTTTCTCGTCTGCCACCATGTCTCTGAAGAACGCTATCCCGTGTCTAATACTCGTGTTCGGCAGCCTTTACCTTTTTGGATTCGGCCTTGCTAGAACTACAATGCCTGCGGATGTTTCCAGACTTCTCGCAATGGCTTGCACCAGCAGTGTATGGAAAGGGAGCGTTGAACCAAACCTTAAATGCGCACTGCGTACCGTTGGGCCGTCATGGGACGCATCTGGCTTCAAGCCAGTAAAAATATCAATTGGACAGTTGGTTCGAAAATATTTGAGCCACTGTTTTCTTTAGAGGAAGAATGCTTCACCCTCAAAGCTGAGGAGGTAAAACTCCGGTGAGACCTTCTTCAACTTTGCTCAAGGGCTGCAGAAAGACGGCCTGCAATACCTGTGCACGCCTCACTTGTGTGTCTGATCCCGTCTCTAGCGTTTTTTCAGCGTTCCAATTTGAGCGGCTAGTTCCAAACTTACGTCAATCCCTTTTAAGACCTTGATTAAGGGAGAAGCGCCCGCTATTGTACGCCACGAGGATGCAGCAAAATGGGCAGTCTTCGAACATCGTTAATCCAGGGGCTCATACATTAAAAAGTGATGAGGCTTCCATCATGCGGCCCTATGAGCCTTCCCGTCAAGATGGTCAACATGGCAACCCCGATGCCCTCTCAAAGGTTAACATTGGAGTGGACGTTGAAGAGGCGGAACGTGACTTCGCAGAATTGAATCGCATCTTCACTGAAAAGTCAACCCGAAGTCGCGCAGCGGCAAGGACGCTCACCCAAGAAAAATCTGGCGTGGCGCGCATCGATATAGAGCATGCTTCAGCCGATTTTGAGAAGGAGGATGAACCATTTGATTTGGAAGAGGTATTGAGAGGGTATAAACAGGCGGAGATAGAAGCGGGTATCAGACCGAAAAATATTGGTAAGTTGGTTGCAACGCTACACGTCACTTACGAAGAAATACTTGCTTATACGACATTCCCTATAGGTGTGTTATGGGACAATTTGACTGTTAGGGGCATAGGAGGCGAGAAAACGAGAGTCAGAACGTTTCCCGATGCTATAGTGGATTTCTGCAATGTTCCAGGTGCGTTAATGGAATGGTTTGGGCTAAAGCCTAAGGGTCCGGAAGTGGACATTCTCAAGGGGTTTAGAGGCCTTGCCCGGCCTGGTGAGATGATTCTTGTACTTGGCAGGCCGGGGTCAGGATGCACCACTTTTTTAAAGACGATTTCAAATCAAAGGATTGGTTACACTGGCATAGATGGGGAGGTCTTATATGGCCCGTTCAACGCTTCTTACTTTCTGAAGAGATATCGTGGGGAGGCGGTCTACAATCAAGAGGATGATATCCACCATCCCACACTCACAGTCAGCCAAACCTTAGGCTTCGCAATAGACACTAAAACACCTCGAAAGCGGCCAGGGGGAATGTCAAAAGAGAGGTTCAAACAATATCTATTAGACCTCTTGCTTAAAATGTTCAACATCGAGCACACACGAGACACAATTGTTGGTAATCAATTTATCCGGGGTATCTCTGGCGGCGAGAGAAAACGGGTCTCAATTGCGGAGATGATGGTCACGCAGGCGACTGTCCTGGCATGGGATAACAGTACTCGCGGTTTGGACTCATCGACGGCACTTGATTTTGTAAAGTCCCTCCGCATCATGACTGATGTCAAGAAGACCACGACTTTTGTTTCGCTATATCAGGCTTCGGAAAACATCTACCACCAGTTTGACAAAGTTCTCTTGCTTGACGAGGGCAGGCAAGTCTTTTTTGGTCGCATATCTGAAGCTCGCTCATACTTCGAGGGCTTGGGATACAAGGAACAGCCGAGGCAGACGACGCCTGATTATCTGACCGGCTGCACGGATCCTTTCGAGCGGCAATTCGTGCCTGGCAGAACCGAGAGCGACGTTCCCTCAACCCCTGACGCGCTGGCCCGGGCATATGAAGCTTCCAAGTACAGTGAACTATTGAGCAAAGAGATGTCAGTCT